ATGGAAAAATGATTTTTTTTTAAATAAGGTATGAAATGCTTGAAAATCTAAGTCTGAAGCTGTCATCTCAATAGGTCTTTTCTGCATGCTAGGCTACTGTCATTTCAGTGCATACAGAGAAATGAATATGTTTCTTAAAATTTTGTGCTCTTCCCCATGAGAAAATATTAGTAGATGGCACTTCACTGAGGCACAGGTTTTCTTCCATTTGTAGATACTGAAATTGTGATAGCCCTTCTGAAGGCCTTTAGCATATCTCTAAGCTAGTTCTTGCATCCTGTTGCTGTCTCAAGTGTTGTAAAACATTGCAGCAGATATAAATCAGTATGCATGATGGTTTTGCATTATCTTTGGTTTGGAGAATACGTGAGTTCCTAATTAATTGTACTTTTCATAGAATCATAGAATGGTTTGGGTTGGAAGGGACTTTGAAGCTCATCCAGTCCCACCCCCCCTGCCATGGGCAGGGACACCTCCCACTAGCCCAGGTTGCTCAAAGCCCCGTCCAGCCTGGCCTTGAACACTGCCAGGGAGGGGGCAGCCACAGCTTCTCTGGGCAACCTGTGCCAGACCAGTGTCTGACCACCCATGGGTATGGGCACATTCTGCTAGACCAGGTTGCACCACCATTTCTGCCTGCAGATCTGTATTTGAGTATAGAAGTTAATAAGTTAACTTGTGTTTTAACGGCCTCTTCTTTTATAGTGTGCTTTAGCTTTTAGTTCGCAGAGTGGTCACACTGTAAGTACGCAATAACAGGTACTGAGAAAGTGAGACTTTTATCTAGAAATTAACTGTTTCATTCAAAATGCTAAGGACTCCTAAAGTGTTGTGGGGCACATCTGGCAGCCAGTCTTGTTCCTCAGAGACTTAGAACTGCTTGCTTATATGGAGATTTTTTTTTTTAACTTTTTTTTTTTTAATGTCTAGATGTTAGGTTGGGAAGAAAAGCTTCAGAGCTTCTGTCATGGGTAGAGTTGCTATATTTCTCTTCTGCAGGCTGCCAAAGCTTTTGTTACATTGTTGGCGCTTGTGTCAAGAGGTTCACTGTTACTGCATTTCTGAGCCTGTCTTGACCTGGAACTCCTCAGGCCTAGTATCTTCTGATTTGCACAAATAATGTCCCGAAGCTTGATGAAATGTTTGTTTTATTTTTCATAGATGTAGCCTCTAAACTTGTTTTAAACCTTGTGGATTTGGGTGCTGCCTTAAAGGAACTGCTGAAATCAGGCATCCATTAAGTAGCACAAGGTCAGTATGAAGATATTCAGTGATTATAGGTAAGATGTGGTTTCTCAAATGGCTTGAGTAGAGCCATCTAAGCAGTTTTATTGAAAGGGCTGACAGAACTGTGTCTTTCTTCCTTTGACTCTCTTGTCCTTCTCCCCACCCCTCCCAAACACACTGCACATTCCTGTCTCACCCTTCCTACTAGCTATAGCATGTGTGATGACACGGTCACCCAGATAGAGCTCTGCCATTTGGCTGAAAATTCATGCCCTAACCATTTGCTGCATTGCTTTTCGGCTGAGCCAGAGAGGTGAGTTAGCAATGGTGCCAAGGTGATTCAGCATCCCTGCTAAGGCAGGAAAAAAGAGGGGATTTCAGTGAGTTTAAACTGACTGTGAAACTGTCAGTTTATCTCTGAATTTTATTCCTCTGAAGATGTTTCTTTGGAGGGAGCACTCTTCAAAGCCCCTCACTGAACATCATCTCAAGGTCTGTAAGAGTTTAGTATGTGTGGCACCTGGGGAAGATCCTGGAAAAAAAGTTGGTTATTTTGCTTTGCATTCCTGATCATTGGTTTTGCGACCACAATTAGTTTAAAGTTTTTCTAAGGTTTCAGTTGCATAGGGAATCTCCCTGTCTTTGGAGGCATGGAAAGGATCATGGGGATGCATAATGATATGACAGAGTACTGTGTTTGCTTCATTGCTTGCTTTCTCGTCCAAGAACATTCTTCTGCTGTCCCAGAGTACTTGTAGGGTTCATCTTTCACTCAGAAACTTCTGGGCGGATATATCGCTGGAGAAGTTATTTGGAGATTTGAACTGGCAGAAGTTAAGTGTTGTGAAAGAGTAGGTGCAGAGTGCTGGCAATTTGGCTTGTCCAGAGCTTTGGCCTGGTGTGTGAGTGTGTGTATTCGTATGCCCATATCCTCTTCAAAATAAGTATAGGGTGAGAACATGTGGTGGGCAGAGGAAGCAAGCAGCCGCTTCAATGTGAATGATAGAGCAAGCTTCAACTTTATTGATAGAAATCACACCTTATATAAGCAGTCTACAATACACTACTTGCAACTCTATTGGATACATTAAAGAAACTACATTATAATATCTCAGCCATTGGGTACATCTAAAAAGTCACATTATAATATACCAGCCCCTTGTGGCACCTCTGGTATGCATAAACATCTTCCTAGCTGTAAACCTGCTTCTCTCCCAGGGCTGTTTCCCTTCACCCCCCAAGGTCGTAATGCGCCCCAACTTATCTCCTTGTTCTCACAACAGTCCTTGTTATCATCAATGTATGCTGGGTTTTTTCCTTTGTTTACCTCAGGTGGCTGGGACCAACTTCTGCAGGGAGCTATGGCCTCGCTCTCTGCAAGCCGTTCTCCAACAATTCCCCCTTTTTCTTTTTGTGCAGGCTGCACAAGCATAAATTTACTAATATTTCTCATTATACAACTACATGCTATTTTAATACTTACTATAATCAATAATACTATTCCCAATCACCGCAATAAATTCTTAAAGGTACCCTATTAAGTACAAAGCATCCCATATTACCTATATTCAAAGGATATGACTAAATACTACAAAATAAACAGTAAGGAAAGTATGGAATAGCACACTTAATTAATAGAAGTACTAACATTCAGATCCGCAGTTGCTAGGGAACCCTGGATACAGCGAGAGTTTAGAGTGCCCTTCCTCACAAACTGGAAACCCTACGTGATGCGTCCATCCGTAGGTGAGGCATCCAAAGTCGCTGCAACCAGGTTCAGCTTTAAATCAACAGGCCAAAATAAGTGGCAACTTTCTTTGTGCAGAAACATCTGATTTCATCCTCCTGTTGGGTTCCACCTGGAGCCTGGCCAGTACTCCAGGGGGAAAACCAAGGGAGTTTCTAAATAAGGTTAAATACTTGAGCTCTTAATTCTTAATATTACTAAACAAAGAAAGT